ATTTTAAGATCTCCCGTGGATATTTTGGAAAGGATTACTGGACTTCTATATATGGGAATAACATGTATATCATCTAGTCCTCTTCAACATAACAAATAGCTAACTTTCACACAGTCCAAAAAGTGCTTCAAATAAATTGCTTACAGCCATCATAAAAGCAACATGATCACCCCCATATGGCTGAAAGTGTAGCTGAAGTTAGGACTAGCTCAAAGATTGAGATCCAAAACACACTGCAGAAATAATCCAATTTGAGGCTGCTTTAACTGCCCTGGCTCAGTGCTAGGGAATTCTGGGAACTGTAGTTTTGTGAGACATTTAGCCTTCTCTGTCAGAGAGCTGTGGTGCCACAATAAACTACAATTCCCAGGATTCCCTAGCACTGAGCCAGGGCAGTTAAAGTGGTCTCAAACTGGATTATTTCTACAATGTATTTTGGACCTATGATTGGATTGTAACTACTATGGGGTGCATCCATTCTATACTGTAGGAATAATGCAGTCTGACACCATTTTAATGCTGGGATTTGTAGTTACAAGGTCTTCAGCTTTCTCTGCCAAAGAAAGCTGGTGCCTCCCAAAGCTACAGATCTTAGGAATTCTGTAGGATGGAGCCATGGCAGTTAAAGTGGCGTCAAACTGTATTATTTCCACAGTATAGATGCACATGGGGAGATGGCCCTATAGCCATGACAGCTAAAGGGGTGTCATACTGTATTATTTCCAGGGTGACCAGATGCCCTAACAGAGGACAAGGCACAGCAAAGTATAGGACATTCAAAAACATGTAGGACATGACAAAATAAAAGTTTAAAAACACTTATATAAACATAAATTCATGCTTCTTAATCCTGGTCACAATGGAGGACATTTTGGGATTCCACCTGAAAAGAAGGTTGAAATGTAGGACATGTCCTGGAAAGGGAGGAGGGCATCTGGTTATCCTGGGCTGCGGCTTCTGGGAGCAGAAATCCAAAACACCTAGAGGACCAAAGTATGGAAATCACCTCACAATTCTCCCTCTCTCTCCTCTGCTGAAAGGCCCCCCCTTTTCTCTCCTTCCTCCCTCTTTGTGGGCAGGGTGGCCAGGCGTCCTCCTTTCCCAGGACATGTCCTACATTTCCACCTTCTGTCCAGGAGGGATTCCATAAGGTCTTCCATTTTAAGCAGGTCTAAGCAGGATGAATTTACATTTATAGGAGTGGGTTTTTTAAAGCTTTTATTTGGTCATGTCCTCCATTTTTCTTGAACGTCCTCTGTTTTTGTGGTACCTGGACCTCCTTTGTGGTGAGGAGGATATCTGTCCACCTTGCCCCTAGGGCACGGGTTCCCAAACGTTTTGGCCCTTCAGGGGTTTTGGACTTCAACACCCAGAATTCCTCACTGTTGGCCAAGCTGTCTGGGGCTTCTGGGAGTTGAAGTCCAAAACCCCTGAAGGGCCAACCTTTGGAAACCCCTGCACCTAGAAGGGCATCACCTCTCAATTCCCCCCCCCTCCTCTGCTAAAGGGCCCCACTGTGGCAAGGTGACCCAATGAATGTCCTCACCACAAAAGAGGGCAAGGCACTGCAAAATGTAGGACATTCCAGGGAAAATGGGGAACCTGACCAAACAAAAGCTCAAAACACTCATCTAAAGATAAATGTCATGTTTCTTAGTGCTAGAAGCAGCCCCCCTTCCCTCCCTCCTTGTGGGTAGGGTGACCAGATGTGCTCTCCTTTTCCAGGACATGTCCTCCATTTCCACCTTCT